AGGGGGGAGGGATTGCATTGGGAGTTATACCTGATGTAAATGACGAGTTGATGGGTGCTGACGAATTGATGGGTGCGGCACAGCAACATGGTACAAGTATACATATGTAACAAACCTGCACGTTAAGCACATGTACCCTAGAACTTAAAGTATAATAATAATAAAAAATAAATAATTTAAAAAAAAAACAAATGGGGGTGAGCTAATTTTCTTAGAAGGAAATTTCTACATGTAGGAAAGCCATATGAATTCAAACATCGGTCTTTAGTTATGTTCACCTTGCCATTTGAAAAATTTAGAGTCTACGTTTCTGCTACAGTGGCATAGCATAACATATTGTCTACTATTCATAAACTAATCATAATTCATGAGATTACATAATCATAGAAAAGAAAATGAAAGTAGAAGAACTAAAATAATTTATTTCAACAATCTTAAATTTTTATTTGAACTCTGATCCTTGTATAAGCCCAAGGATATGATTTTTCATTGTGGTAAATGAAATTCTGTAATTCACTTCTGTAATTCTTGTTCTACAATATCCAATAGTCATTAAACATGGCTATGTGACAATATCAAAACATTTTCGAATTGATTATTTAGGCCAACCGTTTTGTTTTGTAAGGAAAAACCTGAAAACCAGAAGGATTGATTTTCCTAGTGTCACACATGTAGTCCTGATGTTAAAATATAATAAGAAACTGTGTCTCTTGACTTCTAGATGAAAATTCATTTCCCTATTGTCTCTCAACAGTGTTTTGAGTTGCTAGTCTGCTTGTAGATTTGACATTTGAATTTTTCCCCCGGTAACACAAAGAAGTAATTCTTTAAAAATAACAAAGTAAATTATTGGTCTTGGAGCTAATTAAGTCTATGCCAGATAGCCAGATAGTTGGTCACAAAAAACATCTGTAAGGCTAACATGGCTCCAAAATATAATGCTTGATTGAAGGCCCATTAGGTTTTGTGCCTGTGATTTCAGTTCATGGTTAAAAATGTTATTTGATAATAATTGATAAACTACAAAACTATGTCTGTGTGTAATTTACCCAAATTTTATATCTTCTCTTGTAATTCATATGCAAATGCATTCCTAGAAATTTTAAAACAAAATAGTCAATAAATGTATAGGATGTTCCTCTGTGCCAGAGAATTTAAAAATACATATTAGCCATATATCCAAAAGCTGCCCCAGTGACAACATAATTCCTTTTCTTTTCAAATTAGAAGCACAACAGCACCAATAACATAGTGAAGAAGTACAGCCCCAGCAAGCCAGAGGCTGTAACTTTACTAATGGTTCTGTGATACCCCAGCAGTACTTCCCCATGCCTTTCTGGAATTTTTTTTTGTATTTTCACACAATTGTGACTTGTTGCTGAAATCAGGGAGCAATAGGGCAAACAACACTGCTCTGTTACCCCATCAGATACATATTGCCATACTGTTTACCCCAGACTAGAAAAAAATATGAAAACAGAAAGCTGAATATACATTATTTAGAGGTTCTAACTTATAAATATATTGAGAGTGTGTGTGTGTGTGTATATATATATATATATGAACAGATAAAAAGAGATGTTGCAGACAAGAAGTGTAATGAAGCCTGAAATTTTCCTGGGCTTGGGGTTAAAAAGGTGAATGTCAATTAAATCAATAGATTTTGGCATTATTTTACTTGGAAGAGATCAATGTCTCTTCAAAACAGATATGTTCTGTATGGAAATAGTGTTAACTCTGTTTAGATAAATACTAGTATTTTAGCCCCTGGATATAAAAAAATTATTTTTACTATCCATCGAAGTTTTGGGGTTCACAGCTCATGGCTTCACAGGTCATGTATTGCTTTCTTATACTATACATTTTCAACATCGTCACCCAAAAATAATCATCACTTGAAATTTTCTGAAAGTAGAAAGAAAGGCTTTTATACTACTATACTCCAGATGAATATCTATGATTTTTGTGGGATCTATCTATATTCACAGATGGATTCTTTGCCCCAAAATTCAAAAATCTCTAAACTGTGATGCCTACAGACAAGTCTTTTTGGCATGATAAATTTTAAGAATAATATAATATCTGTCGAAAGTAGTAATGCAAGACTTTATTATATATACTGTCTGGAAAGGGTAAGGGGATAGCAAGAGTTTGGTTAATACACACAAAATTACAGCTAGATTGGAGGAATAAGTTCCAGCATTCAATAGCACTGTAGAGTGACTATAGTTAACAATAACAGTGTATATTTTCAAATAGCTAGAAAATAAGATTTTGAATTTTTTTCAACACAAAGAAATAATAAATGTTTGAGGTAATGGATATACTAATTACCCTGATTTGATCATTACACATTGTATACATATATTGAAATATCATACTGCAACCCATTAATATGCATAATTATGTGGCAATTAAACATCTTTAAGATGTTCAACACTTTATGAATCAAATGAGATAGAGCAGTTTCACATATTGGAAAGGAAAAT